GTGTATTGTGATACTCTCTACAGACTTTTCCCACAATGTTTTTTAGGTGTGAGAAAACCAAGCCCATCCGAGTTGAGGTGAAGTGGGGTCTAACGTCACATTCAAGATTATTGCACTTATATAGCGACATGCATGTGTGTGTGGCTGTTGTGTTTAGTCATTGTAGCTATATTAATTAATTATCTTCAATGATTCATTACTGAACAACTGTGTTCATAATGCAAAAAATGTTATGTGTGAGTATGGCTTTGAAAATGGGAATTAAAATCGATCAAAACTGCATATCTGGGTTGTTGTTTTGACACTATACGAGGAGACAAATCTTATTACTTGCTGTAATATGTTGATGCATCTCCAAATGGAACACTGAATGATGTACACACCTTCCAAATTTCATTAAGATATCTTCATTATTAAAAGTTTTATGTCCAGTATTGTGCATGTCATTGAAGGACAGATGAAAAATTAATAAAGTTACATTATTTTCACGATTTTTTAAAATGATAATGAAGGATATCATTGTTTTTTAACTTTTTTTTTATAGTGAATAAATATTATTGTTGAATGACATTAGGAATCTTAAATTGCTAATAAATTGTTAATGCACTACAAAGACCATTCAAAGTGTGGTGATTTTGGCTAGATTGCTATTTTCCATGTTTTGACATGTCAAAATTAAAAGTTATGCTACAATCAAAGAGCTGATCATAAACGGTTTGATTGAGATTATTGTTTCAGGTGAATATTATATCAAAAGTAGAAAAAAACTTCAATTTGTTTTCCCTGTGCTTTTAATCCTGAAATGTATGCAAACTTAATGATGGCCATTTTTTTACACTCCTTCAAACAGACACATCTCTAAACATTTTTGACATAAATCAAAAAGGAAAACTGTTTCTTATTCATTTTTACATGAACTAAAAGTAGACGTATAAACCTGAATAAAATAAAGAATTACAAAAGTAGCCTGACCTCCCCAGTGCAAGTCCACAGAGATACCATGCCATAGTTTAACATGGAAACCCCACTCAGACATAGCATACTGACTCCGTTTCATCCCCTCAATGTCAATTGCCAGGCAGGGTATCAACAAGAAACATTGTTTAAAGACATTTAGTATGACAAGGCCGGGGTCAAACCACTGACTGGGCATCTTCCCAAGGCAAGGGAGGTAACAGACTGTGAAAGTCCACTTTCCACCCTTGCCAAACAACTCTGGAATTTCTGGGCTCGATAGCGTCACGAGTGGCTATTACGAGTTATGTCCCTTTTATGTTTTCCTATTGACCAATCCAATCCTACCTCTCATATTACCTGCATTTGCTTCAATCAAAAGGACAGCGCCCAGTCAAGACGATCTGATAGATAATCAATATGTATATTGTAATAAAACAGGTCTTACTTCCCGAAGTACATCAGGTCATTGGGCCTTGATTAAAAACATGAAAAGATTGGGCAAATATCTGTACACCTGCTTTGCAAAACCTGCAATCGCCCGAAATCTGCGCTGCAGTTTTTGAACCGGGTGTCGGTTTCATTATGTGATTTTGATTTCACAGTACATAGGCTCATTAGTCCAGCCAAAATATAACTCCGTAATTCCAGCCTAGTTCGGCAAGGGTGGAAACTGGACTTTTATAGTCAGTTAATCCCCTTGCCTCGGGAAGATGCTCTCCATGCCAATGCTGAACCCACTATACCACGGAAGCAGTCCCCAGAAAGACAATGCAACACATTTCACATGTGAAATCTGTGACATGTTCTTCAGGCCAGTAGACTCCCGGTCTCTGGATAGAGTCTTGCAGAAACATGATCTGATACAGTTCCCATTGACCCAGTCAACTTAGTCTCCAGACTAACATATGGTGATACGTGATCCCTGCTGCAGGGAATGATTGACATCACGATCAATTGTCAAGTGTCTGTCAATTTCATACACGGCCCTTTTCTCATAATGCACATTATATTTACGGAATCAATAAGAAAAATATCAATATTGCCAAAGAAATAATTGGTGTTTGGTGCGATGGGACTAAAAACCGTCAATTTGTGTTCTTTCAAACACTAAGTGCAAATAATATAAATTAGAAGCTTCCTTACAGAGATCGATCCTTTGTGTCAGTCATTCATCAAATACAACAAGTGAACTATAATATCTAAAAACTATCTGTCAATCCTCGCATTTTCACTTTCATGATCTTTCTCTAAAAAATCTAAAAATGTAACAAAACCTTAGAAGAATTATTAAAACCAGAAGTATATTTCATGATTGTCTTTTCAAAACTTATTTCCTTGATATAAAGCTGGATGATAACGCTTAACTACTATAAATTAGCTTATATATATTTTCTTATTACCACATATATGGCCAATTGAAATTTATAAAAAAAATCTGTTTAAGTTAGTTAAAGATATACTAAAGTGTACTTTAAAGGTAATATGTACAATTTCAAGTAGACTGATCATTTTCAAAATGAAATGTAACATTCAGTTTGATTCACATATATAGTCCTGGTTACTTGGAAAACCAGTTTGTTTTATTCAGATTCATTAACAGTAAAATCATGTACCAACCAGTATTCATCATGCTGGTTTATCATTAATAAAAATCACAGTTACACTTATTTAACGATCAATCATAAAATCGTCACAAACAATATCTATTCCCTATACAATAGCTACAGGAAGACACCGATTCTAAAGTTTGCAACAATCTGTCAGGAAATAATGCAATAAATGTCATTCAGGAATAATTGCAGAGTAAACTGTTCGGCTTGAACAGTAGCACCTTGAACTGTAAATGTTTTGGAACTTTTGACAACATGAAATTTGACAAAAAACAGTTTCAGTAAGTACTTACTAACCTTATCAACTTAACTTCATCATCTGACATCACGAAACTCAGACATATCATTAGTCAAACAACAAATTCAAAAGACAATTTACATTTAATTATACACATACTAACCCCCACACATGTATTTTTTCACATTTGAAATCTATTGACGATGTAAAGATTAACGAACACAATGCCAACTAATAGCAATCAAGAGCTGTTTGCTTCAACTGGACAAAGCATTAATAATTCATCTAGAACAATTACTCCAACTGGCAGACTGTGAGGTTGATATTCAAGGGCATTTAACGGTTTGGTAGGAACACTGTATCTTATTTTAGCAAGGAAGGACAATGTACTGTGGTGAACAATCAAAAGTATCACTAAGAATTACACTACAATGTAGCCTTGATTACAGTGTGAAAGGGGAGTGAGTGAGTGAGTGGGTGTGTCTGAACATTGTTCTACTTCCATCACGTAAGCACCATGTGAGAGGAAAGACAGAAGTGATGCAGTTCCTAGATGATAATCACATGAAACCACGATCACAGTATGATGGCGACAATAACGAACCAAGAATCATGTTTAGGGCGAAACCTTGACCATTTGTTGACTGCCAGATCCTGCACCTGCAGAAGGAGGCAACTCTGCAAACACATCTCTCTCGCAGACCACAGAGCATACACCAATAAGAATTGGCACAAGACATATAGTCCCAGTTCAAATCATTTCATGGGCCTAAAGTACCGACAGACGAAGAAAAACACTCCTCTTTTACTTGATGAATAAACATGCCGAGTCCTACCTAACATTCCTGCTTTGTGTGAATCACGTTCATCAACATATAATGTTCTCAGATTTCTCAGATGCCTTGACCATAAATGACCTGTTTCCTTTAAATACATAAAACATAAACCCATGAAATGCCTTATTTTTTTAAAGTTTGGATCAAAATCTAATAATTATGACCACTCTCTACAGCAAGCTAAATATTCCAATAGGCCTGGGGAACACTGTCAAATGTCATATGAAAAATTAAACTCTGGCCAATAACAAATAGGTCAAATAAATAATTAACATGCTTAGCAAGGTGATACTTATTTCCTTTGTCTATAGAGAAAACTGTTCATTCTTGTTATGTTTATTGGGTGGACAAATATATAACTGTGCCAAAAACAATACAATCAAAACAAGAAATACAAATAAAACATTTATCTTTTTTACATGAGCATTACAAAAACATTCATGTTACGTTCTTTCATCTCACTGCCATGAAGAGAACTCCAAATCCACAATACCCTACTACAAAAGATCATTCTTTCCTGATTTCTTGGTTCAACAACTGTTAATATTTCATAGTTATACATTAACCTTATTAATATTCTCCATTTTCATGAAATGATGTGAGTGTAGTTATTTATTTCTTGTTATACATGTTCAGAGAAGTGGGATTTTTAAAGACTACTCATGTATAAACAGTAATACTCAGTTCCTTTGGAACAGTACTCAAGAATGTTATGCAATCAAGGTGATATACTGGTCTTAATTAAGCTTGATGGACAGGTGTCAGTTTGTGTTCCACTTGAGTAGTTCATGGCCCTTTGAAATAGACTAAATGGTTTATGACAGCTGATCATGCTGATTGTTAACTACTTAATTGCCATGAATGCCATTTCATGCTGCACATCTCGTAAATGCTACTTGATATTAGAAACAGTGTCAACAACTGTCAAATTACAAACATTATTTTAAGATCTGTATTGAAAATAAACCTGAGAACAAAAATAAACAACATGGGAGAAACTATGAGCATAACAAATATGCTGCCGATATGTAGAAAAAGGGAAACATTAAAAAACAAGTTTTGAAATCATCAAATGTGAACAAAAAGACCTGGTGTGGTTGTGTACATTGTTTGTTAAGAATGCAAAACCAAGCGAGATGCACAGTATGGCTACCCCTCTGATCAAACAAAGGGGAGCCTGGCTCGTGGGAAAATTTGCTCATGCGTCAGATTGGACCACTTTAATATGCATCATCAGGATCAGGAAGTGGTTTCATACACTCCCTTTCCTATTGACAGTCCATCTACAAATTCATTTAAGCCATTAACTTGATGCCAGAAATGTTAAGAAAGTGAGTTGAAATCACAACAAATGCCTACCTGTGACAAGTATCCACCATTCTCATTCATGGTGAAAAAATCTGCCACTAGCTGCTTCACCAGTGTAATGAAAATTAGTCTGTGGTTGTAAAATTTACTCTAAACTCCTCTTTTGACACTAATAAATGATCCAGTCAGCTCTCTGTGTCGGGTATAGGTACTCCTTTTGAAACACATAGGTAGAGATGTTCCTCATGGGTACAGTACAACAACTCTACTACCAGTTATCGCGATGCTGGTACTAAACTTTGAAACGGACACTCGTGGGAAAATACAGTTGTAATTGACATCGTGAGAACAATGATGGCCGGCTGTTCCGTCCTTTGCTGGCACTCCCCCGGTAAAACAAAAAGTGCACCAAGAAGCGTTGAAAGTTTCACTGAGATTGCAGGTCATACATTGACAAACGCATAAACTTAATTATAACACCGTAAGCATTACAAAAGTGATAAGACATTCAGATCCAAGTTGGTGTGTGTTCATTTTACGTAGGAGGTGTATGGAATAGCCAGTTTCCCAAGTTCGGGACAAAGCCCATTGGTACTTTCCTTATATGGAAAGCAGGTGTTCCCACGGCTAGTCAGCGTGTTTTGGTCCAATGGATTTCGATAACAAATAAGCCATAAGGTCGACAGACCCCCAAGTTAGCTTTGCCCGTCAGTCGGCGTAAAATAATCTGACAATTAGGAGAGCAAAGACGTGTAAAATAGCTCTGACACAATTCATTCAAAATGTAGCCCAACGACTTGCAAAACAGTGGCAGAAATATTTCGGTATACATGCATAACAATTATAGCAATTACGCCTGCAACAGATGCACTGACCAGTCACAAGTGTAAATATCATACGGACCGATTATATATAAAACAAAATGCAGACGTTGTATCACTCACCAGTTTATAAGGACAACGCCGCACTTAGTCAAATAATTTGTCGAGTCGGGACTCGAGTGAAGTCCAGAGCTGTTTGACAGTTTACCGAAAGTCAGAAAGGTTAATACTCCCCCATGAAGGAAGGGCATGTGGCGTCACAACTCGATTTTCATCTCAGACAATAATACATCTCGAAACCGTCAACGCAGTAGCCCAATATTTCGTGGCGTGATAATATAAAGATATAACTTTTTCCAAATTCAACTAGAAAGTTACAGCCAATATGGCGGACATTACATCTGCCCATGCGCTTGTTTTGGTTCCTACTTCCGGTCGGGATGCTGTGAAGTCTGGGTGTTAGTGGATATTTAGTACGCAGATGTGAGCGAATTTATGTCAATTCGTATATATAAGTGACAGAGTCAATGTAGATCTGAAAGTAGTTTGGTGAGAAATGTCTTCAGGCAATGATCAGAGTTCCAGAAAAAGTGCAGAGGGTGGATCTGAGATGGAAGCGAGCCAGACGCAATCTACAAGTGACAGTTCACCTCAGGCCAGGCCTGACCAGAGGGATGGAGATACAAACAACTCCAATGTGTCAATGCTGAATGAAAAAGCTAATACTGAGAATTCTGATAAAACAGGTGAACACAGAAAACTTATGTTAACTTATATGTTTGAAAACTGGACAAGAAACCCTCTGAGATATTCTAATTGAATTACAAACTTATCACATTAATGATACAGGCCTATATGCAATATGGTTGTTGTGAACCATGTGTGAGGGTGACCAAATCCTACAATCAGCCGTAGTAACTAACAGGTTTGATCCACTAGTCCTTATGATGATAACATATAGCAAAACCCTTAAAAACGGCAAATTTCTACTAGTCCTTATGATACCTTAACTATTGGGCAGTTTGGCAAGACTACAGGACTAGTGCCAATTTCTAACGCTGACAATCTGCTTATTATTTTTAAGAAATGTTTTGTTTCCATGGTGCTGTGAATATTAGGGTCCAGTGACCAGTACCGCAAATCTATCTGAACTAAGATTGTCGTAAGTTGGTTGGTTGGTTTGTTGCTTAACGCCGCACTCAGCAATATTCCAGCTATATGACGGCGGTCTGTAAATTACCGAGTCTGGACCAGACAATCCAGTGATTAATATCATGAGCATCTATCCACGCAATTGGGACTGATGACATGTATGTCGTAAGAGGGAGCAGGGATAGAATGTTTCCAAGAAAGTCTACTAGCCCAAATAGTGATAGCATATAGGAAGTAGTATAGATAATGGGGGTTCTATCACACCCCCACCTGGGCCATACCTAGACCCTAACAATAACGCCCTAAATTTAGCAGTTGCTACATTTTGCTAAGTAGTTGCTACATTTTACCTGCCAAACATGCCACAATCCAGTGACAGTCATCACAAAATTCGCATAAACTTAAGACCCCTATGGAAGTGTTGTTAGGGTCTAGGTATGGCCCTGGTTCCTCAAAATGTTGAATATTCTAGTAGCCCCTGGGATACCTTTAACATTTGTGAAACTCTATTGAAACAAGGACCAGGAGCAATATTGTAGGTAATAGTGTATGAATGACAAGAACAAATTGAGCACTACTTGCAGTGTTTGAAATTAAAGAGCATCCTGGGTTCCCTGAGATTTGCTCCTATAGTATTTGAGTTTAGCACTTCATCAATCTCAAATATTCAACATCAGGTTTATGACAAGGACTCCTTGATTCCCTGCTTAATTTCAAACACTGATTTGGGTTTAATTTCCAGAATATCAGTGTCCCAAACCTTAAATGACAGTGCAGGAAAAGGCAGTTTCAACTTTTTGCCATCCTGTTCATGTGTTATAGAAAAGAGACTGCTGGAATGTACATTGTAACTCATGGCATTCACAATGACAACCCCTAAGGCACATCCTATCTCCTGAATAACTTTGTCAATGCCACCAGAAATCAGTACAATTATTTCCAAACTTCTGTTGCATTTAAAGCTTACAGATGTGTAATCCATGGTGTATGACAGGGATAGATTTACTTTCAAACATCTCTTGCCGATATATAAATATGAAGCACTATAATGAGGTTCATATTTCTTTGTTACATTTTTTCTTAGATTGTAATAGTTCTTATTTTTTATTAATGTGAAGGAACTGCCCTTTTTAGTTTCATTTAGGCACCATGCTCTCCCCTTGACTTAGGCCATGGCTGTCAGTGTCGTAAACATTAAATTTCTCCATAACTGCTTATGAAATGCATATGATACTTTACTCACTTTCCTTAAGATACCACCTCATACTATTCAGCTCAGTAGGCAACTGTGTCATGGCATTTATTCTGGGATTTATGTATGATTCCAGTCACAGTACCCAGTCTGCAGTACCCTTGGCAGAAAAATTGGGATTTGTTTTTGTCTTGTTCAAATTTTTAATTTTTTTTTAGTTCTTATTTTCCTAATTTAACAGGTATAATGACATTGTATTTTAATCTTCAATTCAATGCAAAAATTAGAATCAAATATTAACGCCTCTTCCTCTTTATTGGTCCCGTTATAATACAAGTCACCTCTGTAAACATCATAACATCAATAAATACCGAATCAACATGTTATATTTCCCTTTGGGGAATATTTTCTGACATATGCTGCAGATCTGTGGTTGAATATCGGCCTCTGAGCAAGTCTTGATAAATCCAGGTTTTTTTTAACAGTTTCATCTTGTCATAACTTTAGTTTTGTCTTGTTGATCTTAATTATGTTGGAGGGGCGGTCGGGTAGCCTAGTGGTTAAAGTGTTCGCTCGTCACGCCGAAGACCGGGTTCGATTCACGACATGGGTACAATGTGTGAAGCCCATTTCTGGTGTCCCCCGCTGTGATATTGCTGGAATATTGCTAAAAGCGGCGCAAAACCATACTCACTCACCCACCCACTTAATTATGTTGGCTTCACTACTAGGGCTGGGACGAGTCCAAATTTACTACCTGGGTTCCAACCTACCTATTACCCGACCCTACCCGGATACACGCTGTAGGTCTTGGTACAAAATGTCCGATGGCGAAAGGTTTGACCGTACTCCTGTCAAAATGTATTTAGATGCACATATAAACCGATCATGTCATGCATGTACACTAAGTTGACTGAAGTATTATCTTTATGCAAACCTATAAAGTCAGAAGGAATGGGTGCATAGTCAGGAAGAAATGTGAATATTTGTCACTTATAGTGTAACCATTGAGTTCTAGATTCTTTTTGCCATTTGGTTGGTTTGTTTGTTTGTTGTTTAACGCCGCACTCAGCAATATTCCAGCTATATGACGGCGGTCTGTAAATAATCGAGTCTGGACCAGACAATCCAGTGATTAATATCATGAGCGTCGATCCACGCAATTGGGATCGATGACATGCATCAACCAAGTCAGCGAGCCTGACCACCCGATCCCGTTAGTCGCCTTTTACGACAAGCATAGTCACCCATACGGCAAGCATGGGTTGCTGAAGACCTATTCTACCCCGGAATCTTCACGGGTCTTTTGCCATTTAACAATATAACTGTGTGACTAACCATGGGTCCAGGTAGTCCTGTGGGTACCCGGGTCCTACTCAGTACCCACCCGTCCCGAGTATCTGAGTTACCCGTCCTATCTCTATTCCCTACCTCACTAATGTTTTTGACTACCAATTAGTATGATACACATATCTCAGACGAAAAGAAAATCAGTATAAGCTCACCAATGAATTTTGTTTTCAGAGGGATTAAATGTTCAAGCAGCAAAACCTGATGCAGAAGAAAGTTTGATATCACTTGAGGCAGATCAAAATGGCACACAAGCAAGCAGTAAAGGACAACCTGAAGTCACGCCCATGGACCAAAGTGGATCTGGACAACCAGAGAGTATGGACATTGAAACTGATGCACAGCCAGAAACTGTAGAGTTACCTCCCCCTGATAACAAACCAAATGCGGAGTTACCTCACCTTGATGAGAAAGCTGCAGCTGAAACATCACCCACAAAAGAAGGCGAAACACCTGCAGCAGATGCAGCTTTGAGCAATGTGGTAGAGTTGCCTCCCCTTGATGAATCGTCTAGCGGGGAAGCTTGCGCCTCTGCTTCCAGTGCTAAAGATGACTTGTCAGGACAAAGTGTTTATTATATTAAATGGATTCACTACAGACAGAACAAAGTGCCAATTATAACCCAAAATGAAAATGGACCCTGTCCTCTCTTGGCAATAATGAATGTTCTCTTGTTGAAGGGCAAGGTCAAACTTGCTCCCATGATTGAGATGATCACATCTGAACAGCTGATGACGTATTTAGGGGAGAGTATCCTAGACAGCATGCCAGAGGTAGGTGACATACGTTTACACAAATTCATTTCACATTTGTTTTGTTTGTTGGTTGTTAAACGCCACACAGCTATATAATGGCGGTCTGAAAATGATCAAGTCTGGACCAGACAATCCAGTGATTGACATCATGAGCATCGATCCACACAATTGGAATATGACATGCATCAACCAAATCAGCGAGCCTGACCACCCGATCCCGTTAGTTAAGGGACATAACTCCAAAGTTGTGATGCATGAATGTGGATTTTGTTTGTTTCTTCAGATTGTTTGTTTACCTGGGAAATGATATTCAGTAGTAATAAGTGTAGTCTTTGCTTTTTATTATTTTGTCTGGCTCTGTTGATTCAAGCTGGTAAAGTAAAAACATAATGTACAGCATGGTGCTGACAATTGAGCAATGACACATGTTTGTATGAAAAGAAACAACTTTTGCCAGACTTTTGTTGACCTCTAAGTGTCGTATTTCTCTGGTGTATATTACATATTTCTTACAAAAACCAGAGTGCAGAAGGGGAATATAGTTGCAGGGATTTATCTAGGATTCCAAACCAAGTGCCTATGGCAGGCAAATTGGGTAACACATTGTGATATTGTTAACAATTTGATTTTTTAATGTTCATATCTTTTTAATTCTAAGGTATTGGGAACACTTTGTATTCAAATTACTGACATTTACTGCAGACTTGGGGCAGAATATTTGCCTCTGAGCAGGTCTAAGTAAATCCCTCATAATTGCTTTGTAGCTGTTATAAAAAATGTTTAGTTTGTTCACAACTGATTGATGGCTGACAACAAATTCAACTTGTTGTGTAAGTTCAGATAAGCTCTATAGTAGAAGACATCAAGGACCCAGGAACCCCCTTAATTTTGAACATTCCAGGGTTTTATCTAGACAAATTTGGAAACATCATTTTGTCCAGATTTTTTTTCTTTCTTAACTTCAGATATAGTTTAACATTCATGCATTTATTGCAATAACATAAAAGTAAGCGTCACTGTACATGATCACTGAAATACAAAGCACCTTTGCAAAGCCAAGACATTTGGAAAACCTGAATTTGGAAATTTGGAATTCCAACATCGAGCATAAGACTATTTAGATGAACTCAAGTCTTATGATTTGAGTACCTGACCAGGGGAGATAACTCAGATCTTCACTTCTCGAATGCATGTTGCCTTCATTCCTCCAATTTTATTATTGTCTTTTTTTCAGAATCTCTCCGAGTCTGTTCGTGCCAACTATGAGCAGAATATGCAAGATGCGATGTCTGTGATGTACAAACTCCAAACTGGCCTTGACGTCAATGTTAAGTTTTCTGGGTAATGTATTTGAACTTGAACTTTCTGTCTCTTGAACCAATCATTTACCTACAACACATAACAACCAACCTGGCAACCTTGGACGTAGATTGAATTATGTAACTTTTATTTATCCAAGCAATTTCCCCTTATTCACTGTGTCCTTGAAAGAAGAAATCAGATTTAGGAACCAACCATTTTGTATTCACTGCTCGCTCGCTCACTCACTCACTCACTCACTCACTCACTCACTCACTCACTCACTCACTCACTCACTCACTCACTCACTCACTCACTCACTCACTCACTCGGACATGTGTTGTGCCTTGCAGTGTATCAGACTTTGAGTACACCCCTGAGTGTATCATCTTCGACCTGCTTGGCATCCCCCTGTACCACGGGTGGCTGGTGGACCCCCAGGACCCCGTGTGTACCTCCGCGGTGGGCATGTGCAGCTACAACCAGCTGGTGGAGAAGATCATTGCCCAGAAGAGTTCCGAGAGGGAGGAGACAGTCACTGAAGGTGAGAGGAAGGAAAACATTCTCTCAATGGAGGCAGTAGGGTAGCCAAGTGATTAAATCATTCACTCGTCACACTGAAAACCCAGGTTCTGTTCCCTCATAGGTACAATATGTGAAGCCCATTTCTGGTGTCCCCTGTTGATATTGCTGGAATATTACTAAAATCAGTGTTAAAACATACATATTTACAATGGATGTGGCACAGTCATCTCAACTACTGCAGATTTTTGTGCAGAGTTGCATCCCTTAGGTGTGCTAGGATACTATAATCATACCTTTAAATCACAGATTTGTCCCAGTGTAAAAGACTGCAATGTGCTGGTCAGGAGTTGCCTCTCTTTGACCTTTCAGGATCCTGTGATCATAGGTTTGCATCCAAGATTTGCAGTGTCTATGATCCTGGGTTTGCCTGAGTCATAACGGCATTATTCAAGTGGTACACATCTAGGACCTGTGTCACTGTGCACTTGACTCCTTCATGCCAGTGGTTTCAGATAAGTTCATTTTGTTGGTAGACTGATTATTAGTGTCCTAAAGATGGGTTTTGAATTTGGAAATGATATCAAAGAAAGTCCTTTACATAGTTGATACATGTCGTATCATTAAAATGTCCTAATACCATGTCTTGCTGCTTGTTCAAAGTGTTATCCATGTGGACCAGCTGACAAAAAATTAATAATAATATAATATTGCTGAAAACTTGCTGATTGATTGCAGTAAAATGAAGAGAAATTGTTAATTTTGTAGAACATATTTAGGCAAAGAGTTACCTCCCTTCAACCATCCATTTGAGTGACTTTAGCAGATCATCTTCAGCTGAGTAGAACCAGTTGAGCTATATGATCAGTAGTTTCCAGTAGTTAATCATTCATATTTATTGAAAATATAAAAAGGGAATTCCAACTTAAATGTTTGCTGAAAATAGTCTCAGAAAATGATTGGGAAAAAATCTGTCTCTATGCATAACAAGTGAAGTTGGTGAATTGGGGTTTAACTGACACTTTCAAGAATATTGTACTTGAACAGCAGTGTGGGGGCTTGTACTAGTCTACTTTCTTGTTTCATTCAAGGATGTTTAGAGAATTCAGAGAATGCACAATTTTAAGTTAATACGGATTCTTAGAATTCTTGGAATTGTTAAGAAAGGAGCATCTTCCCAAGGCAAGGGAGTTAACTGACTTTAAAAGTCTAGTTTCTACCCTTGCCGAACTAGGCTGGAATTCCTGAACTCAGTGAACCAGTGGCTATTACGAGTTATGTCCCTTCTATGCCTCTCCTATGGACCAATCAGATTCCACCTCTTGTATCACTTGCATTTGCTTCAAACAAAATGGTGGCGCCCAGTCAAGACGATCTCATCGATAATTAAGATCTATATTGTGATAAAAATGGGTCTTACATCGCGAAGTGCATCAAATCACGTGAGCACCTTGATTAAAAACAGGAAAAGATTTGAAAAATATATGTTGACAACGAGTTGGCGGTGCACATGCTTTGCAAATCCTGCAATCGACCGAAATCTGTGTGACAGTTTATGAACCTCATTTCAATTTCATTGCACGATCTTGATTGGACTATGCATAGACTCATTAGTCCAGCCCAAATCTGACTCCATAATACCAGTCTAGTTGTCAAGGGTGGAAACTGGACTTTTATAGTCAGTTAACTCTTGCCTCAGGAAGATGGGTCCCATCTTGAACAGAACCAGGTGGTCAAATTGATGTCCTGTCAACTCCATACTCAAATAAGAATACAAAGGATACATTTTTCAGTTGTGTTAATGTTTAATATTTTCATGTAGCTACAGTGTGCATGAATTGTAGTCAAGGGGAGACAATCTTTGGAAAGCAACATCTAATAATCTCCCCTTGCACTCAAAACCCTCATCGCTTGAAAACGAATAGAAATGAAAATGTTTGCTTTGCAATGTCTTTTGAATTATGTTTTTAATATGGATATGGGATGGGTCTATATTTAGCTCACCAAGTCAGAAGCTTTCGCTTTGCAGACTTGTGGCTTTTTACTTTTTCTCCAACCTGGCTAAAGGGATGAAGCTGAACTTTGTGACGATAGCACGCAGTAAAACTAATGTTATCATTGTGTGGAATTGAGTTTTAATTTGTTTGAAATGAAACTTTGCTATTTGTAGCTGCACAGAGGTATCCCATTTTTCTTTGAAAATATCGATTTTGTTCAGAATCTTTCCCTGAAACCACAAGGTCTCGAGAGTAGAAACTGATTAAAGATATCTAGGACTATATGCTGTGTTTTTTTAGGGATTTTTATTCTAAATTAAAAATATATTTTCAGATTTAGAAAATGTTTAAACCATATCTTTTCAAAGAGGAACTACAAAATGGGATTTGAATATATAACTTAAGTGGTTAGGTGATATGGGTCTTAACATTGCATTTAAGATTATTGCACTATATAGCATATGTTGGTGTGTGGCTGCTTGTACTTGTCCAGACTAATGTCAAATATATAGTGCTAGCCCACTGAGATAACATGCTTCATATAGATGATACCCTGCTCAGACACACCATGTGACTTTCTGTCAGTAACCCAGCGTTAGAAATTGGCACTAGTCCTCTAGTCCTTTCCAAGCTGCCCAATAGTAAAGGTATCCCAAGGACTAGTAGAAATTGGCCCATTTTAAGGGTTTTGCTATATGTTATCATTATAAGGACAAGTGGACAAAAACTGTTAGTTTCTAACCCTGGTAACCAGCTGGTAATCGGCAGAACTGTGTGCGCACACCTCCAGACCGCTTTACCATGAATTTGACAGTTGCTATTTTTGTTCTTTAGCATGTACGTTGTCAAATGATCACCAAACGGAGAGGAGAATCTGTGTCATCGGTTGTTAACTTAAAAAAAATTAATCTCCCCAACAGGGTTTGATCCCCGGCCGCATCATACCAAAAGACATTAAAAGATGGTACAAGGACTGGTCGGCTCGGAGTCAGTATACTGTGTCTGTGTGTGGTATTCATGTTAATCTGTGGCATGGTATCTCTGTGGGCTAGCACTAGAAAATTGGTATTAGTCCGGACTAGTACAAGAAGCCACACACGCACACGTACATGCAAATCGCTATGTCAGTGCAATAATCTTGGACACGACGTTAAACCCCATTTCACCCCACCTCTTCATCTCCCTTGAGTGAGTGAGTGAGTGAGTATGGTTTTACACCGCTTTTAGCAATATTACAGCAATATTACGGCAGGGGACACCAGAAACGGGCTTCACACATTGTACCCATGACGGGAATCGAACCTGGGTCTTTTGCGTGACAAGCAAACGCTTTAACCACTAGGCTACCCGACCGCCCCATCTCCCCTGAGACTATGAACCCCATGGAGCTGAAACTTTGTATGAATGATCCCAGCTCTAGTGATTGCTTCTGTCAGACTTGCTCCAGTATTTTCTTCATAATTAGACCGCCTCTGTGGTCTGGTGGTCGAGCGTCCGCCCGGAGAGCGGAAGGTCCGGGGTTCGATCCCCGGCCGCGTCATACCAAAAGACGTTAAAAGATGCAACTTGTTGTTACCCTGTCTAGCGCTCGGCATTAAGGGGCTAAAACAAGGACTGGTCAGCTCGGAGTCAGTATACTGTGTCTGAGTGGGGTATTCATGTTAAACTGCGACATGGTATCTCAGTGAGCTAGCACTATAAATCGGCATCAGTCAGGACTAGTACAAGCAGCCACACAAACACACACACACATACATGCCTGTTGCTATATAAGTGCAATAATCTTGGAAGCGCCGTTAAACCCCATTTCAACTCACCTCTTCATCTCCCCTGAGACTATAAAGCCCATGGAGCTGAAACTTGGTATGAATGATCCCAGCTCTAGTGACTGCTTCTGTCAGACTTGCTCCATCTGTTTCATCATAACTAAGGAGAGATACAATACATTTGTTGGATCAGTGTGATGGTCCCTGTAATGATTTGTTTGTCCTTGAAAAGTGCTTCATTTTGAATTCCAACTATCAGAATGAAGGAAAATTTGTATGAAATTTGTGGAATCCTTATCAGGGTGATCTTTCAGCACTGGTGGCGGAGCAGTTCCTGGACCGTACAGCCTCCCAGCTCACCTACTACGGTCTGTGCGAGTTGAACACGTCAGTGAAGGAGGGCGAACTGTGTGTCTTCTTTAGGAACAACCACTTCAGCAACCTCTACAGAGTCAATGTGAGTAGCAATAATAATAAGACTAACTATCGTGATGATGATGATGACATTAGGCCACGCCCCCTCAAAAACTGATGGTACCTGATTGGCTGATAATAGAATGAGTGGACAAAATTAATGGTAAACTCTTTGATGGTAGTGAACCTGTTTGAGTGGGTTGTTGATCTACATAAAGAACATGTAAATTGCCTAATGGCCTGTACGTAGAGAATACTACTCTCTTTCTCGTTAGATTCCATTGTATCCAAACGAGTGGACTTTCTAACTGAGGGTAATGAGTGTGGTATTATATTTAATATCCATGTAAATATGCAATTAAGTGTAAGTACATGATCAATCAGCTGAATTTATGTTGTGTGAGTACCATTTTGGAAAAGGAAATCAGAGTGCTCACCAACGACGTTCATGTTAACTGTTATACTGACGCTATACTGAAGAAATGAAAATCAACAAACGAAGGGCAAGGTACCATCAGAATAAGAAAAGACAACCATGATCTACTTACAGAATTTTAAGCTAGAGATCAATAGGGAATGTTATTGTTCACATTTGGGATGTTTTGTGACACAAGATCAGAAGTCAGGAACCCTTCCACGGAGATTTCGATTTGATGTTTGTTTGGTTAATAAAGTGTTTGTAAATGTCTCTCGTTTTCAGGAGATTCTTTCTGTTCTGTCTCAGAGTAGTCAGGAATTTTGTTAAATCGATGAGTCTCATGATATTTTTGTGAATGAAAAACGTCGTTCCGGTGTGGCAGAGGTTAACCACAAAAATAAAACATGGTCAACCTTGTATGACACTCATGTGACAAATGGATTTAGTATCTCACATCTGCCACACATCTGTATGTGGGTAATATATGCTCATATATCGCCAAACAGAAAACACTTTGAAGTTTGGGGAACATTTTGAGTAAAGTTAAATGGAATCCAGTGTTTTGAGTTGGTTGTGGATCTCAATGGCCTAATACTGTACATGCTCAAATGAAAAGGACGTAAAGTAAGGACATAACGGTCAGATTGTAATAGCACCGAAGCTCTCTGTTGTCCCTAAACCTTGAAATAATTGGACCGCCTCCGTGGTCTAGAGGTAGAGCGTCCGCCCGGAGAGCGGAAGGTCCAGGGTTCGATCCCGGGCCGCGTCATACAAAAAGACGTTAAAAGATTGTACTTGTTGTTACCCTGTCTGGCGCTCGGCATTAAGGGGCTAAAACAAGGACTGGTCGGCTCGGAGTCAGTATACTGTGTCTGAGTGGGGTATTCATGTTAAACTGCGGCATGGTATCTCAGTGAGCTAGCACTATAAATCGGCATCAGTCCGGACTAGTACAAGCAGCCACACACACACATACACGTACATGCACGTCGCTATATAAGTGCAATAATCTTGGACGCAACGTTAAACCCAATTTCACCTCACCTCTCTGTTGTCCCTAAACCTTGAAATAATTAGTTGATTTATCATTTTGTCTGCCTAAAGTATTTGCCACACATAGTTTGAATGTTGTCATTGCAACTTGGCATTTTGTAACCTAAGATTGTTCATGCCTGTCTCCACATTTCGAAATACCTTCTGACAATGATTGGGGGCGGTCGGGTAGCCTAGTGGTTAAAGCGTTCGCTAGTCACGCCGAAGACCCGGGTTCGATTCCCGACATGGGTACAATGTGTGAAGCCCATTTCTGGTGTCCCCCGCCGTGATATTGCTGGAATATTGCTAAAAGCGGCGTAAAACCTCACTCACTCACTCACTCTGACAATGATTGGTAAAAAGACAAACTGTCCTGTTTGAGGTCTAGTACTCATGCAACGTCAAGTCAGCTGTTTCATTGAAAGGTGGTTAATGAATAGTTGACTTTCACTTTGTGTGAGTTTATTGGAGTATGAACCTTCATAGAATGAGGGCCAAGTGTTTGAATGTTGGAGCTTGAGATTTCCGAAGTTCTTTATTAATGAAACTGTGGCAGTAACATGTGTTGGTCATCATTGATCAATTGGCTGATCATTGAATGGGGACTGTGTCAAATAGATACTAAGGTAAATACACAGATTGCTGTATACTGTCACTGTCACTCTCAACACAGATCTCGTCAATACTATGATAGTTTGGATGTGCATTTCTTCATTTTGTTCATTAGGATGGGTTGTAGCGAGGATAGTCATGAACAATCATGCAGTCAAACTCTCTATCGTTTCTCAATGTATGCTAAAATGCTGAGTTCAAGATTAAAGGGATTAAATGATCAGAAACAATGCTTCTGTGTGTATTCATGCCAGGGAAATCCCAGAGGTTCCCCCAGGAATATGTAAATAGTCGGTAGTGTTAACAGCATTTGAAGAATACGGTCTCGTGAAAAACCTATGAAAGTCAAATTGTGTTGTTCATACAATAACTCAATTTTGCGGCCATGTGACCGACCTCTCGTCCAATGGAAAAGCTGTATATCGTGTAAGCTTCACATTAAAAAAAATTATTATGATTTAGGAACTCTGATTTACCAATAAGAATGAAGTATTTTCCAAATTTATGGTAGACTATACATGCCATATTCTGCTTAGTTGTTACTCCGGATCATTTCACTGGGAAGAGTTACCGGACATGTGATTTCGGTGCATGAGACTTCCAGGCACTTGTCCACTAACTGGAGCTATTGTTGACGTTAAAGGTATCCTGAGTGCTAGTGGAATTCTTGGCTCTTAAGTGGGTATCCTTACATGTAATCACTGCTCAGGCTGGTAAATGTTTCAGGTTAAGATACAAGGTTTCAGACTGCTCGACTGATTTTTGTTCTGTATCAAAATTTCTTCTGGAATCTAATTACGGAGCATGTGATTTCAGCACTTTCATTGAAATACTTTATTCGAATGTTGTGATATCTCTTCTCTCGGGAATTGATTTAATATGTTTAGAATAATTGATATTCGCAACAAGATCGAGATAATTTTTTTATTTCTACTTGCCCTTTAAGAAAAGTCCTTTTGAGTGTAAGTCTCTTGAAAAGTTTGAATTAAAGATTTAATGATTTCTCTAAATTGGTGTTACACACATTGAAGCCATTGCGGTCGCATCCAGAGCACAGCAGGCCTCAAAGTTGGGACTAAAACGGTCGCCAATGCGACCTTTTTTCAATTTGTGTATTGTCTAAAATTCCGAGGTAACCAAAATGACTACCTTGAAAAATATCTGTGGCGACTAAATTCTGTTTTATTTTAGTTGATAGTTTGGCAGCGGTAGAAACTAACAGTTTTAGTCCACTAGTCCTTATAATGATAGCATATAGCAAAACCCTTTAAAATGGCAAATATCTACTAGTCCTTATGATACCTTAACTATTGGGCAGTTTGGCAAGGACTACAGGACTAGTGTCAATTTCTAACCCTGGTTTGTATAGGTATATCCTTGCTTATCCAATAATCTTGTAACATAAATTGCATCATTTTTCAAGTCACAATTAACAAAACTCAAGTACAGTTTCCACTCATATACAATAATAGTTATTTGATAAAAAATAATTTCAAATTCTTTTGGCTACCTACACTATTGGCTCATCTTGTTAATTTTACCACTAGCTACCTGGAAAAAAATGCTTGTGGTCACATGGCTACTTGGTAAAAATTTAAACTTGATGTGTGCACAGATTCACCATGGGTCTTGGGGACACGAGTGGCACGGCATCTATGGCACCACATTTCACTGCACAGAGTTGTGTCCCTTAGGTGCACCAGAAGCCTGTGATTATGGGTTCACATCCCAGTTCACCCTGAGTATGTCTCTAGTTTTGTCAGCACCATACCATGCTCATATCTTTTTTTTAACAAAGTGGTAAATGTCTAAGTGGTAAATCATTTGGGTTTTCTTCCGACATCAGACTGACATGCCATGATACGGCCGAGATAATGTTCAAAGCAGTGTTGAACCCAACTCACTCACTCACTCACTCACTCACTCACTCACTCACTCACTCCGCCTCCGTGGTCTTGTGGTAGAGCGTCCGCCCAGAGAGCGGAAGGTCCGGGGTTCGAGCCCTCTGGCCGCGTCTTACCAAAAGACGTTAAAAGATGGTACTTGTTGTTACCCTGTCTGGCATTAAGGGGCTAAAACAAGAACTGTTAAACTGCGCATGGTATCTCAGTGAGCTGGCACTATAAATCGGCATCAGTCCGGACTAGTACAAGCAGCCACACAAACACACACACACATACATGCACGTCGCTATATAAGTGCAATAATCTTGGACGCGATGTTAAACCCAATTTCACCTCACCTCACCTCACCTCACCTCACCTCAACTCAACTCAACTCAACTCAACTCAACTCAACTCAACTCAACTCTCACTCACTCACTCACTCACTCACTCACTCACTCACTCACTCACTCACTCACTCACTCACTCCAAGCACCCACTCACTCATTCCAAGCACCCACTCACTCACTCCAAGTAGTATTTTCAATACCAATAAATCCATTGCTAACTCACTCACTCACTCACCCACCCACTCACTCACTCACTCACTCACTCACTCACTCACTCACTCACTCACTCACTCACTCACTCACTCACTCACTCACTCACTCACTCCAAGTAGTATTCTCAACACCAATATATCCATTGCTGTGTGGCTAATTCACCAACGGTCTCCGTCATGTCCAAGACTCATGCACAATGCAACATAGGTCAAGCCATCAGCCCAATAAACATAATACATTCTGCATACAAAAATTATTTTATTTGTTTTGTAAAATGTTCAAGTCAAGATGTATGAAATATTTACACTTTGTACACATATTGATCTTGTTGAACTACTGTTTGAATAAGCCACAGTGAAATATGAGTAAAATCAATACTCAAACTTTGTACCTGTTGTAATTGTACAATCTCAGCAGCAAAGTGCATTTCACAGAGTGTCATATTAATTATACATGTAATATTTGGGGAAATTTGGGAAAAAGCAGTGAATGGAATAAAAAAGGGACCAATTTCACACAGTGAGATAGTGGTTCTGGTACTGATACTCTGCATCTGAAAGTCCCTTTTTCATTTGAAGGTCATGCCCTCTGTCTTCTGAGAGTCTCTTTGTCACTTGAAGGTCACTCCATGTTTCTTGTGAGAGTCCTATTGTCCCTTGAAGGTCACTCTATGTATCTTGTGAGAGTCCTATTGTCCCTTGAAGGTCACTCTATGTATCTTGTGAGAGTCTCTTTGTCACTTGAAGGTCACTCTATGTATCTAGTGAGAGTCCCATTGTCCCTTGAAGGTCACTCTATGTATCTTGTGAGAGTCCTATTGTCCCTTGAAGGTCACTCTATGTATCTTGTGAGAGTCCTATTGTCCCTTGAAGGTCACTCTATGTATCTTGTGAGAGTCCCTATTGTCACTTGAAGGTCACTCTATGTATCTAGTGAGAGTCCTTTTGTCACTTGGAGGTCAGTCTATGTATCTTGTGAGAGTCTCTTTGTCCCTTGAAGGTCACTCCCTGTATCTTGTGAGAGTCTCTTTGTCCTTGAAGGTCACTCTATGTATCTTGTGAGAGTCTCTTTGTCCTTGAAGGTCACTCTATGTATCTTGTGAGAGTCCCATTGTCCCTTGAAGGTCAGTCCCTGTATCTTGTGAGAGTCCTATTGTCCCTTAAAGGTCACTCTATGTATCTTGTGAGAGTCCCATTGTCACTTGAAGGCCGCTCCCTGTATCTTGTGAGAGTCCCATTGTCACTTGAAGGCCGCTCCCTGTATCTTGTGAGAGTCCTATTGTCCCTTGAAGGTCACTCTATGTATCTTGTGAGAGTCCCATTGTCCCTTGAAGGTCACTGCCTGTATCTTGTGAGAGTCTCTTTGTCCTTGAAGGTCACTCTATGTATCTTGTGAGAGTCTCTTTGTCCTTGAAGGTCACTCTATGTATCTTGTGAGAGTCCCATTGTCCCTTGAAGGTCACTCTATGTATCTTGTGAGAGTCCCATTGTCCCTTGAAGGTCACTGCCTGTATCTTGTGAGAGTCTCTTTGTCCTTGAAGGTCACTCTATGTATCTTGTGAGAGTCTCTTTGTCCTTGAAGGTCACTCTATGTATCTTGTGAGAGTCCCATTGTCCCTTGAAGGTCAGTCCCTGTATCTTGTGAGAGTCCTATTGTCCCTTGAAGGTCACTCTATGTATCTTGTGAGAGTCCCATTGTCACTTGAAGGCCGCTCCCTGTATCTTGTGAGAGTCCCATTGTCACTTGAAGGCCGCTCCCTGTATCTTGTGAGAGTCCTATTGTCCCTTGAAGGTCACTCTATGTATCTTGTGAGAGTCCCATTGTCCCTTGAAGGTCACTGCCTGTATCTTGTGAGAGTCCTATTGTCCCTTGAAGGTCACTCTATGTATCTTGTGAGAGTCCTTTTGTCCTTTGAAGGTCACTCCCTGTATCTTGTGAGAGTCCTATTGTCCCTTGAAGGTCACTCCATGTTTCTTGTGAGGGTCCCATTGCCCCTTGAAGGTCACTCCATGCTTCTTGTGAGAGTCCTTTTGTCCCTTGAGTCTTTGTTGGTTTGTTTTACTAAGTCTGCTTAGCATCCATCTGTTGATGCATAATATCTGTGTTATTGCATCTGTTGGTGCATCTGTTATGGCATCTGTTGGTGTATCTGTACTGCATCTGTTACTGCATCTGTTAATCATGTTGGTGTATCTGTTACTGCATCTGTTAATCATTTGTTGGTGTATCTGTTACTGCTTCTGTTACGGCATCTGTTGGTGTATCTGTTACTGCATCTGTTAATCATCTGTTGGTGTATCTGTTACTGCTTCTGTTACGGCATCTGTTGGTGCATCTGTTATGGTATCTGTTAATCTGCTGTTGGTGTATCTGTTACTGCTTCTGTTAATCTTCTGTTGGTGTATCTGTTACTGCATCTACTACTGCATCTGTTCGTGCATCTGTTACGGCATCTGTTGGTGTATCTGTTACTGCATCTGTTAATCATCTGTTGGTGAATCTGTTACTGCATCTGTTAATCTTCTGTTGGTGTGTCTGTTACTGCTTCTGTTACAGCATAGCTTTGTGTATCTGATACGGCATCTGTTGGTGTATCTGTTAATCATCTGTTGGTGTATCTGTTACTGCTTCTGTTACGGCATAGCTTTGTGTATCTATTACGGCATCTGTTGGTGTATCTGTTACTGCATCTGTTACTGCATCTCTTGGTATATCTGTTGTGTATCTGTTACTGCGTCTGTTAGGGAAGAGCTGGTCACAAGAAGCTGTAGACTGATGCAGTCAGTAACAGCAAGGACAGCATCAGGGGAGACACATGGAGGGACGGCGCTGCTGCTAGCACTGAAACACCAGAGATAGGAGATGGTACTTTGAGAACAGGCCAGGAAGAATCGTTCATGTCAGATATACTTGATACCTACACGATACCATTCCTAGTTCCATGATGTACAGCATATGCAAGCATCGTGTGTTTTGTATTCTGACAATCTCATTCAAATCAGATCTTAGTTCTCTGCACCCTTAACAGAAATCTGAGGACATCCCGGGTCATGGCAGAACAACGTTCATCTGACAAATCAGGGCGTCGCTTACCAGATCAAGAAAGTGACAGTCGGAATGTGTTTTCATGCAACTTCTTAAAGGTTAACACGGGGTATTCCATACAACTGTTGTGGGTTGTACACCTGAATCCATCAAGATTGTCTATCTCTCCGTTCAATGAGTTAAAAATATTTGAAAGGGGAGAGAATTTGCATAGCCCATGTCAAGTACTGCCAAACAATCTCAGCCATCTATTCTTTTGTTCAGTTTTCAAATTTTAGTCAAGAACATTGTCAAAATGTTTTTCAAAGCATAGTCTCGAATGGAATGCCGTATAGTTCGAGGAAGCTGCTTTTTGATTGGTTAATGTTGACTTCTTGTTATAGTCATTTCATTGATGGGTCCAAGTTCACGAAAGGTCAGACTGACGTGACACGTAATGGGATGTCCTCAGATATTTGTTCAGCGGATGCGAGAACTAAGATTTGATTTTAATGAGCTTGTGTATTCTGGTAAGGGCACTAAATATGTCAATTATCAGCTTAGTTTGTTTAATAATTCTCAAAGTGTCTGCAGGTTACATGTCTTGGATATTTTCAAATTTTTGTCTTTTGTTTTAAGGACATGGCCGTCCCAAAATGCCAAATGCTCCCACAACTGACACAGTGACCCCAATTTTTTACCAAACAAGTTATCAACAATATAATAGAAATAATACTGATATGTGCTTGATTGATAATTGATATTAATTAATTACATGGACATGGAAGCCGAATTTCACTGGGCAAGGTTGCGTTTCTTAGGCATCACAGAAACTTATGATTGTGGGTTCAAATCCCAAACATGGTCTGATTATGTTTCTAAGTTTATCAGCACCAAACACATGGTCCGTGGTTTCACCAAAGTTATAACTGTGTAAGACTTACATCTCTTTTGGCGTCCTCCCACATCAGGATAATACTGTGCCAAAGACTTTTGAGTTTGTTTGAGCAAGAAATTGGTTCTTAGTACATTTTTAGCAAATTTTAAGTACCTTTTAATGTTATGTGGATTATATTAGCTAACCGCCATGATATTGCTGGAATATTGCTAAAAGCGGCGTTAAACCATACTCACTCATTTTTCAAGACACTTCAAACTAGTGGCTACAGTCACAGACTGAAATACTGTTGAAAGAAGCGCTACACCCTCACTCACTCAGGAAACAATGTTGTCAAGCCTCACCTGTGCAGTTGAATCCCTGTCCTGTGTAATACTCTTTCTGTCTCCGATATGCTTCCGTTGATTCCCCTTGACACTCCCCGACCCTCGGGTCCATGCACTGCGAGAACGCCTCGAACACACTGAACAGAAAAATAAACTTAAATATTTACCCCAGGGAATCGAGCCTCACAGATCTTGGTCGTAACGCACACACAAATATTGAATGAAGGACTCGTAATAATTCCGACAGCCAAACCACAAATCCAAACAATGCTTCTTCACGCCAGTATTGTTTTAGAACACACTACCCTCTGCACGCCAACTGCCGATCGGGACAAAGTTCGCGAGCACATTACACATAGGCCATGCTACAGTTTACCGAGAGTGAAAAATGTGGATTGTTTTTCAAATGATCTTGTGTCAACATCAGGTGGAGACATTTTTTTCAGATCCTGATTGACACGTTTTGTAATCGTTCCTTGAGGGATTGTCTTCAGGTGACTGGAATGTAACTTGTGTAATCGTCACATTCTTGAAACATTTGTGTCGCCTGCAACTTGTCAGAATAGTGTACAGTTTGAATTGACTTTCTCCCTTGATTCCCCCTCCCCCATCCCTCCCCCTCCATGCCCATCCGATGCCCATCCCATCCTTTCCCTAAAAGTGAAAGTTTGTAAAGTCCCACGGGAACTTCCAAGTCTTTGACCCAAGATAATTTCGCCACATTTTCTTTAATTCCACCACCTACGTAAATCAACTTTTGTCTTGCTTATGTGAAAAATGGGCTTGCTCATAACTTCATAAGATGAGCCTGTTCGATTTATTCAAATCTGTCATATGTTTCAGATTCTGAATAAAAAGAAATTGTGTAAATGATGTCATGAAACAAAACTTGATTATTATACCACGACCTTTTAGGTCGGGGGTGTATAGTTATACCAAGGTTCCGTCTGTCCATCCATCCGTCCGTCCGAAAGCTTTGTCCGTGCGATTTCTCTTAAACTATTCAGTGGATTCATCTCAAACTTAGTACATATAATCTGTGTCATATGGAGGGGTTCAGTCAAAAAAGAAAAATTGTTTTTATTAATTTTCCATTTTTTAATGAATTTTTCAAACCCTAACCTTATCCATTATTTAATTTGAAACTACTGACACACTAGGCGGGTCGGGGGTATTAGTGAGCCACACTCACTTTTGCCCTTGTTATTATAGTATTAATATAAACGCAAGTAAAACAAAGCATTGCCTCTCATTTGTATTCATTGTGGACCCAAAGGCAGGTCTCATCATCTTTGTGTAAGCACGATATGTTTACAAAGAATTTTCCTTTGAGGCACAGTTGAGTACCGTATTCGACGTAATAAGCGCCCAGGGCGCTCTCAAAATTAGAAATAGGGGGCACTTATTAGAATATTTTTTTGGTGAAAAAAAACAGATTTGAAAGATAAGTTTCTTGGTTTATGCTGACAGCCTGAAATGTTTATATACGACAGATATATTTTTCCAGAATTTAATTGCCCATAATTAAGGGTGCATATAACAATAGAGTGAATAATAAATAAGTCTTTTGTACATTGATCAATTGGAAGGGGTGCTAATTGGGATTGTTCACGTGCCGATATATTAGCAGTATAGCCGTGGGCGCTTATTACGTCGAATACGGTAATATATTATGCTTGGTTTTATCTGAGGGAGCCGAGTTGTAGCTTTTTATACCATAATAGTCTGTGATAGCATTTAACAAAGCATGAACATGCCCCTGTTCCATCGCAGAGGACACAAGTATTAGATAGATTATTAGGGAATCAAATCCACAACAAACTTCTACAAAATTCTGTGGCAGATTCTAAAGAATTCTTTGATATTTAAAATATCTTTCAGATATACTGCAAGCTATTGCATTGTCTCCTGTTAACAAACTTGACAGATGAACTATAGAAAGTTATGAAGAATGGCCTGACAGATAAATAGTTTTACTATCTGCTCCAAAATGTTGCATAAAACGTAATGTTGCATAAAACGTAATGTTGCATAAATGTAATAAAAAACTTGCTATTTTGTCGGTAGTTGCATACCCAATCTCTAAATGCCAGGGGCGGTTGGGTAGCCTAGTGGTTAAAGTGTTCGCTCGTCACGCTGAAGACCTGGGTTCGATTCCCGACATAGGTACAATGTGTGAAGCCCAGTTCTGGTGTCCCCCGCCGAGATATTGCTTGAATATTGCTAAAAGTGGCGTAAAACCATACTCGCTCACTCACTCACTCTCAATGCCACTCAGAAATCTTTTTCTATTTCTTCTTCGAATTAGCTGTTTTAATGATAATCAAACTAAGAGACAGATCTTGTTCAACAAAACATTGCTGTCCCACAGACAAGAGGTGAATCTGTAAACACGGAATCCTCCAGCATCATATTAAGCAGAGATTAAGTCCTGTCAGCCATCAAGAGTCTCTTGTTTCTATAGCATCAGCACAGAGGGGGAAACTTTTGTCAGTATTGACCCGTGATCATCGTGTCTTGGCAGTCACGGGAATGTCATCATCCCGAGGCAAGGGAGGTAACTGACGTCAAATTAGGCTAGAATTATGGAGTCATATTTTGGCGGAACTAGTAGGTCTATGTTTTGTCCAATCCCATAACCATATCAACATAAGCAGCATGCAACTACTATGCCAAATTTGGTTGATTGCAGGATTTGCAGAGCATGTGTACTGTCAAATGGGCATTGACACATATTTTCCAAATTTTTTAATGTTTTTAATCATGGTAGTAAAGTGATATGATGTGCGTGGTAAAACCCATTTTATTACAATAAGGATTTTTTTTATCGATCAGATTGTCATTTTTTTTATAGCAAATGCAAGTGATATGAGAGTTTGAATCTGATTTGTCAGTGGGGGGGACATGGGAGGGACAAAACTCGTAATAGCCACTGGTGGTGCTATGATCGAGCGCAAAAATTTCAGCGTAGTTTGGCAAGGATGGAAATTGGACTTTTACATTCAGTTAACTCCCTTGACTCTGGAAGATGCTGGAATGTGTGTGACATGGCCACAGCAATCAAAGACATATCACAAGCTCATATGTAGACATTCCTTTGTACATGATTCACTTTGGCAACTTTCGGAAGTTTCCGGGGGAAGGTGTTAAAGAGGTATTTGATAGCAATGTTTGACTTTAAAATTCTGCTCCCCTTAGAAATCTCAGTTAATAATAGTCCATGAAATTACACTATTCCCCCTGGGGATTCTGGGTTATAGAACTGGTCCCCAGAAACCTATGCTAGTCATAAGGGCTAACTTAATGGATCGAATGGTTTACCGGTAGACTTGCTGACTCTTGCCAACAAAAGGAAATACAACAGACCCACAGTTCTGATCCATCTTCAAACTCAGTGAATATCTTTTTACGTAAACTACGATGTTTGATTGACAAGTCCTGAGCCTCGCATAGAAGGAATTGTGTTATTGTAAAATCTTTAGTTGTGGACATTCTGCAAATACTTGAAAAACTGCACGCTCCTGAAGATGTTCTTGTCACAGCAGAACAATTTGCACAATTGACTTAAGTTTTTTGTGGCTATATCAACATCATGTAACGTCCCCAACGGCGTCCTCCCATCAGTCAGATAGCTTAAAACAACACACTACCTGATTCAGCGTTAGAAATTGGCACCAGTCCTGTAGTCCTTGCCAAAGTGCCCAAAAGTTAAGGTATCATAAGGACTAGTAGAAATTTGCCATTTTTAAGAGTCTTGCTATATGTTATCATTATAAGGACTAGTGGAATAAAAATGTTAGTTTCTACTGCTGCTGCACCGATAGTCCCCAACTGTTACCTGTATTAAAATTAATTCCTTCACAGTTTCTTCAACAACAAAATTCACTAAAATTTAATTCCTTCGATGTGAGGCTTAGAACTGATCAATCAACCCTCGTAGATAATAAGCAGCTGTAATTAGAATGTTGGCCATTTTCATTTCACTGAGGCTGATGAGACCCTTTTCAATTTCTGGGAAATTTTTGATTTTCCTTGGAAGGTGTTTAAGATTGGTATTGGATAACAATGTTTGGCTTCAAGATTCTGTTCCCTTTAGTAAGATCAGTTACCGTATTCGATGTAATAAGCGCCCCGCTCTAATAAGCGCCCACAGCGATATTTGCTGATATATTGGCTAGTGAATAAGCCCAATTAGTATCCCATTCGATTGATCAATGTACACAAGACTTATTTATTCGGTATTATACGCACACGTGTGTTATATGCACCCTTATTTATGGGCAATTAAATTCTGGAAAAATATATCTGTCGTGCATAAACATTTCAGGCTGTCAGCACAAACCACGAAATATATCTTTCAACTCTGTTTTTTTTTCACTAAAATAATATTCTAATAAGAGCCCCCTATTTCTAATTTTGAGAGTGCCCTGGGCGCTTATTACGTCGAATACAGTAATAAAAGTCCATGTAATAAGTTTATCACACTGAGGATTCTGGGTGAGAACTGGTTCCCTGTAACCTATGCTAGTCATAATGGGTGACATAATGGATCGGGAGGTCAGGCTTGCTGACTTGGTTGATGTATGTCATCATTTCCCAACGGCGTGGACCGTTGCTCAGAATATTGATCATTGGATTGTTTACAAGTGCCATCGTAGGCTGGAATATTGCTGCTTGTAGCATTGAACAACAAACAAACTTACGAGCATATATGTGTATGGTTGCTGTCGTGCCGGGTAGCGATACTGTTAAGCTCCTCCCTCTCACGCCGACATTCCTCTAGGGCGGTCAGCACGGTCTGAATGTCACAGCTGGTCACCACTGCAAGCAACAACGTCAACATCACGATGAACAATGGGAGGGTAAACCTGGGGTGTTCAACAGAACAACGTATTATGTGTGTAGTGAATGATGGAGGCGTATGTATGGGATTCATCTAGACCTGCCCAGAGGCAAATATTTGGTCCAAATTCTGCTGCAAATGTTTATTAAAACTTCCCAATTTATATTGATTTACTTCTAACTTGTCATGACTTTGTAGAGGTCACGAGTTTCACTGATATCAGTACCAGTAATAGTGAGGAGGCTATAATGAGTACTTAAACATTGTTATACAATGATAAAATACAATGTTACGTCTGGTTGGATCATTGGTACCATGTCTAGAACAATGGATTTCTTGTTTACTGGAATTGTTGCCTTTGAGTGTAGCCAGATATGATGACAGCACATGTTTTTGCCTATTGTCATTTTGGGATTTTAATTAGGATAAGAACATGTTCTGAATTTAACGGGGGCGGTCGGGTAGCCTAGTGGTTAAAGCGTTCGCTCGTCACGCTGAAGACCCGGGTTCGAATCCCGACATGGGTACAATGTGTGAAGCCCATTTCTGGTGTCCCCTGCCGTGATATTGCTGTAATATTGCTTAAAGCGGCGTAAAACCAAACTCACTCACTCACCCACTCTGAATTTAATGGATTTTTTTAGTGAGTGCCTCAATCAGCAATGTTCTAGCAGTATAATGGCTGCTTGGGAATTATTGAAGCTGGGATTTTATTGGGATATGATGACACACAATCAGATTGTACGTTTCATCCACCCAATCGTCATTCATGAATTTTCATGACAGGCGTACTAGATTCACCATACCCCTGACTAACTTCTGGACCAATCTGTGAGTAATCTTGATACACGCAACATACTAAGGCAAAACATTAACATGACAGTCCATATGTTCTTGTGTATACTTCACATTTCTTAGACACATACAGAAGTTCTGACTTTCAGAAGCAATAGCATTACTGCTAGACTGATAACAGAAATGTCACAAAATGCTTTCGTTTCATTGACGATATAAATTTGTTCTCTCAGGTCATCAAATTTAAATAAGCACCCTTTTGTTAATTTTCTAAGTGCCCACTGTGCTTACAGCAAATACAGTATATATTAATATTGCCTTGTTATGAAATTCTGCAACATTGCTGATTCAACATCCCGCCAATATTTACCCAGTATCAAATGTTGCTTCGAAACAGATCCGGAAAGCAGTGGATTACTATGTAGTCCGAAGAACAATACCCCTAAACTGACATAAATCCTCGAGTCACCCAAGTAGCACCATTTTTAATATTGACGAACATGGCGAGGGTCCTTGGGAAGTTTCTAATAACAAGGTAAAATGTTAATGGAATGTGTCAGAACATATGAATCTGGTGCAAAACCTTCACGCTTCCACAAGAACCAAGATAATATTTGTCAAGGCTTATCAATCGCCCCAGAAACATCTAGCCAAGTCCTATTCATCATTCGTCACCAGTTTAAGTTCTTTCACAGAGAATAAATGAAAAATACTCAATCTTGCACCCGGCAATATGCACTCGCTCGCTCAAAAATGCAATTGACTTTGTCCTCCAAAAACTAGTTTCAACAACCTGTGTTGAACAAACGGTGCAAGCATTCCAGATTTCTTATGAAATATATTTGACAGTTCATGTCAACAGCATGATATGTTTAGATTTTACCAAGTCTGTTTCTTCACTTTTAATCTGCCTATGGGATGCTAACTATTCTTATAAGATGTCCAATATCTTCATGTCACAATATGTCATTACAGAACAAATTGTTGAGGTGTTAAATGCACACAAGCATCGAACATCGTGGTCAGATTGTTTTTAACCAAGTTGCTTTTTCACTCACCGGAACATAAATTTTCATTTGTGAAACTGTATCACATCTTGATAATGCAATTTTTATGTCACATTTTGTCTTTTTGTCTATGTCCTTGCTAGACTGAATCATGCTGTCTCTACTCACCTAGTAGTAACCGACTTCTGTCTGTTTTTTATCATTGACATCACAACGTTTGTAATCTGATGACAAACATACTGGTTTGTGAGTTGTCATTCTCATCCAAAAGCAGATATTTTTTTAATATTATTATTGTTATTGTTATTATACATTAGAGGGGGCACAGGTGGCCCAGTCGTCTAAAGCGCCGCAATTCGCTGTGCAGAGTTGCTTCCCTTGGGCGCATCAGAAACCTATGATTGTGGGTTCGAATCCCGGTTCGCCCCAATTATGTTTCTAGGTTTGTCAGCACCAGACCCGTGCTCGTGGGTTTCACCGAACTGGTAAACTTCTAAGACCTGCATCACTTCGGGCTTTCCTCCAACATTAAGCTGACACACCGCGATATAACTGGAATACTGTTAAAAGCGGCGTTAAACCCAACTCACTCACTATTATACATTAGTGTAACACACTTATCCAGATACTAGTATCTGCTCAAATGCAGTTAATTTGTTTCCCATCCAGTGGATCCGTATAGTTATCATTCTCAGTATACAACCCATAATAACTATTGACTGTACATCATAACCTTTAAAACTGATATTTACCAGTCCAGATTCTCACATTTTGCAAATGTTTTAACACAGATATCCACAAGTTGAAATATATTGTTTCCATAACATTACTTACCAGTATTTATTTTTTGGGGGAAAATTAGATTTCAGCAGATTATTTGCCCAAGGACAAGTGAAAATCCACAACCCTGAACTGTTTTCTGGTTTTACAGTGTTATGGGACATCCGAAGCCAGGGATTAAAATGTTTTTGTTTTTGTTAAATGTGCCACTCACAAAGGATAGTTAGGTGTTCCTTGGGAATCTGAGTGTGCCAACAAGAGGAAATACAACAGACCCACAGTTCTGATCCATCTTCAAACTCAGTGAATATCTTTTACCGTCAACTACGAGGTTTGGTTGACAAGTTCTAAGCCTCGCATAGAAGGAATTGTGTTATAGTGAAATCTTTAGTTGTGGACATTCTGCAAATACTTGATAACTGCATGTTCCTAAGTTTGTCCATTTTCAAAAATTCTCAGACCCTGCTAATTTTAACACAAAAAGACCTAGTCATGAAATTACCTTGTTTTAATTCTTTCGACATCATGTTCAATGCACTGTATGTTGATGGCTGACATATTTAATGACGTCATCCCTGAAGTAACTTAGTTAGATCTACACGCCATTCACACAACGTTCAGTCACAATTTTTCACTTTTTTCACAGGAATATTACACTTTGGTTTGAGACGAAAGTCGCTACAAATAGATATTTAACCTCGAAGAAAAGCAAAATGTTATTTCCTTGCACTAAAAATAGACTACAGGACTTTATTTGCCAGTCCACAGGGACTGGCAGTTCCATGAATTACCGGTCCAAGCCTAATTTTACCGGTTAAAAACTGGTAATTACCAGTAAACGGAACATTGTCATCAGTCAGACAGCTAAAAATAACAAACTGCATGATTGCACAGATAGTCCCCAACTGTTACCTGTATTACAATGGTTTGGCACAACAGCTGGTGACAGAAAAAACAGAAAGATCATTGATTACTTCACATTTTCTTCACAAAAAAAATTTCACTAAAATGCAATTCCTCCTTTGTGAGGCTTGGAACTGATCAATCAACCCCTCGTAGATAATAAGCAGTTTTTTTAATTTGCCCCTTTCATTTACTGAGGCTGATAATACCCTTTTCAATATCTGTATCCCATCAGTGTTTGAAATAAATAGAAAAGCCAGCCTGCCATCGATCCACAGAGTTTAGGACATGCAGGCCCTGACTATATCGTTCAAGGGGTCATTTACAAAACTGCAGCTTGTTGTGACAGATGAATTGATTCATAAAGTTAATGCAGGCCATGAGGACTCATACAAATTTGAGTGAGTGAGTGAGTTCAATTAAAAGTCACGTCGGCAATATTTCAGCCATAATGTGACTTGAGTAAGTTATACAATATTTATAAAAACTGTCGACGAAGGACAGTATAATAACTAGCAATATATCACAGATTGACTTAAAACTAGTTGTAGAACATTAAAAATATCTGATTATTGAGGTACGACACAATATAAAAATGGGGCTATAGATCGCCAGCAACAAAGTTAAATTCACCTTACTGGGGACCAAGGGGACTTACGGTACCTCTGCTACCTGCATGGTTCCCCAGCAGGATTTACACTTCCCCAAGTTACTGGCGATTGTTGTGAGTTAAGCCAGAGCTTAAAAGTGAACAAATATTCTGCAATTAAAATAGAGGTAGATATAAATATACTTTAAAAGAGGTGGTCTTACATACCCTCTCAGGGGACAATGATTTTACGCTACTTCAACCCCAGTCGAGGGTATAGCCACGAAAAGTCTCAGTTACTAATTATATACTATCGACTTATAAAATACATAACTTTTTACATCAAAATGTGTGAATGAGTTCTATATCTTTTAAAAAGTTGATGATTAAACGTGAGTTAACATGGCTAAAAAGGTCCTTAACGGTTTTCACACTGAAATATTTATCCCTTGTGATACAAATTTGAAACTAGGGGCCAAAGACGAGATTTACCTGCCACGGGCTACAGGCAGGTGCTTGTTTCGACCACTGTATCCAATGCACATTCACATTGATTTCTCATGGTTGTCCACTTTACTTGTTTGTTTGTTTTAAATACTTGTGGCTTCATACATAAACTTTCCACAAGGTATTTGTGTTCAGAGAATATTAATTTTAAGTATGGCCTTTAGGCATAGGAACTTTGCCCTCAGGATTTAATAGTGCCAGGATTTAAGAAGACTTTAAATCCCTGAAACCACAAAGTTTATCCCACAATGAACAATAAAGACTTAGAAACTGGCACTTGTCCTAAATAATTGTCCTTGTTAAACTGACCAATAGTTAAGGTATCCTAAAGACTATTAGAAATTGGTCCTTTTTAAGGGTTTTGCGGTATGTAATCATTATAAGGACAAGTGGGCTAAAACTGTTAGTTTCTATTGCTGTCAATATGACAAAATTATGTGACGGAAAAATCACTACATTCCCCCGTCTCGTCTGCTAGTTAAAGTGTAAGTGCAATTTCCGTCTCCGACTTGGCTGTTTAGTTTTGACACTATGGCAACATTGTACTTGATTTTGTAGATGGTGCAGTTAGTTATATCACAAGTTGACAAACACTCCGCTTGTTTATGTGTGGACATACTGCAGGGGCAATATTGAGATACCAAATAATAAACGGTGGCGCCAATTACATGCTGTTTGTAATAAGATAGACAGGGCATTAAATGCCCTTTGATTGGAATGCTTTCCTTAGGAGTGTATTTGAAAGAGATGATATGTTTTATTTTTGCATATTTGATCAGTGGTATAAAAATGATTTTCAATAGCACTTTTCTGTGCAGTAATGAAGAATACATTTCCTTGATTTGTTAGGGTCTTGGAGGGTGCTGAGTGTGCACATTTGTCTGTTGTGCAGGCGGGACAGTCCTGCTGCTAATTTGAATTCGGGAACTACCCAAAGGGTTTTATCGGAGTAAAAATATCCCCCAAATTATAAGTGATTGTCCAAGGACTCACTAACAATCAGCCACAATCAGCCACAGGTAAATTCCTGGTACTGTCCCAAACTATAGAGTTACATTTTTGAGAATCTAGAATGGAACTCTTGAAAATAATTCACAGCTTTCAATTTGAAAGTTATAAAGAGCAGATGAATCTTTGTTTTCTCTATGCTGTTAATACAGGGTGCTTATAAAGATAACTTACAGATTGGCCTTACAGAGGGGGACTTTTATTGAAGAGGGCCACTTGATACGACACGTTTGTAAATTTAAGATGTTTGATGCGGAATTAAAATTACCAAATACTCCTCAGTATCAATTTTTTTATGGCTTGAATGTTCAAAAATGACATTTACAACAACAAAATTCAGTTTCAAAATGCTGCAGTACGACAGTGGTTGTTGGGGAATGAGGAGCATTCTAGACATAGAAGTGTTCTTGGATTCTGATATTCAGATCCAGATTTACAGAAGAGATTTCAAAATGTCCGAATGGAAATAAAAAACTATCCAAATCCTTGGACATGATAATTTATGGTTATATTATAGTTTTGCTAGGAATGGAGTGAGTATGGTTTTACGCCAGTTTGAGCAATATTTCAGCAATATCAAGGCGTGGGGACACCATAAATGGGCTTCGCTCATTGTACCCATGTGGGGAATTAAACAGAGGCACTGCAGCGGGAGAAACTCACATTTTTAGTTCACTAGTCCTTATAATGATAACCTATAGCAAAAACCTTAAAAATGGCAAATGTCTACTAGTCCTTATGATACCTCAGCTATTGGGCAGTTTGGCAAGGACTGTATGACTAGAGCCAGTTTCTACCGCTGGGCAGTGGGCTAGCCTAGAGTTCAAAGCTTTCACTCGTCGCGGCGAAGACCCGAGTCTGATTCAACACATAGGTACGATGTTTGAATTCCATTTCAGATGGCCCTCTCTGTGATAGTGTTAGAATATTGCTAAAAGCAGTGTAAAACCCAACTCACTCACTGATAACAGGACCAGTAGGGAAAAAAACATTAATACTTACTTTTATATTATCACACTGAATGCAACACAAAAATTCCTGTGAGGTTTAGAAATAAGGACATTCTAAGTTTGGACAAAGTAATGTTTTTGTCCTATATTCCCTGTCACAGCACTTGATATTAATACTATCCGTGGTAATATTGTACTTGTTCAGACAACAGAAAGTCTGGCTTGAACAGTACCGCCAGATCTGACACTTTCAAGGGGGCCCAGTCGTCAAAGGCGCCACGACTCGCTGTGCAGAGTTGCGTCCCTTGGGCACGCCAGAAACCTATGATTGTGGGTTCGAGTCCCGGCTCAACCCGATTATGTTTCTAGGTTTGTCAGCACCATACCCGTGCTCGTGGGTTTCACCGAAGTGGTAAACGTCTGAGACCTGCATCACTTCGGGCTTTCCTCCCACATTAAGCTGACACGCCGTGATATTACTGGAATACTGTTAAAAACGGCGTTAAACCCAACTCACTCACTCGCTCACTCTGACACTTTCATTGACAGGTCTAACACATTTGATTTTAGCTGACAATGTTTTTTTTACACTTTTAAGAATGACACGAATGAGGTGGCAGAAAATTAGTATTTTGAACATTATGTCATGTACACAAGTATTCAGTTGTCAAATAGAAAACAATAAGGGTCAATTTGCTGATATATTTATGAGATGGATTGGCCCCTTTTCTTATTAGACGGCATGTTTTCTAAGTCAGTTGTGTCCAAGGTTGTGTTGGCAAACTAGTGGGGATTCTGGGATAGAGTACGTCCCCAGCCACCTGTTCTTGTCACAAAAGGTGAAGATCCGAGTTAAGTTGGGTCTTTAGCAACCCATGCTTGCCATATTAGGCGACTATGCTTGTTGTAAGAGGCAACTAACGTGATCGGGTGGTCAGGCTCACTGACTTTGTTGAATTGTGTGAATTGATGCTCATAATATCAATCACTGGATTGTCTGGTCCCGACCCAATTATTTACAGACCGCCGTTATACAGCTGGAATATTGCTGAGTGCGGTGTTAAACAACAAACAAGCACAAGAGGTGACTAAATTGATCAGGTGGTCAGGCTCGGTGATTTGGTAGACTGCATGTCATCATACCCGGATGGCGTGGGTTGTTGCTCATAATATCAGTCACTGGATTGTCTGGTCCACAGCACAACATTTACACACTGTCATATGGGTGGAATATTGCCGAGTGTGGTGTAAAAATATCAAACACACAATCAATTGATATCATACTGAAAAAACTATTTGCAAGCCCCATGCCTGTCTGGTTTAATGTTCATCTAGGTTTCAATAGAGCGTCCAACTGGAGAGCGGAAGGTCCGGGGTCAATCCCAGGCTGCGTCATACCAAAAGACGTTAAAAGATGGTACTTGTTGTTACCCTGTCTGGCGCTCTGCATGAAGGGGCTAAAGCAAGGGCTGGTTGGCTCGGAGTCAGTATACTATGTCTGAGTGGGGTATTCATGTTAAACTGCGGCATGGTATCTCAGTGGGCATAAATTGTCATCAGTCCGGACTAGTACAAGCACACGCACACACACACACACACACACACACACACACACACACACACACACACACACACACACACACACACACACACACACACACACACACACACACACACAAGTGCATGCACATAGCTATATAAGTCAGCGTTAGAACTAAACTGAAAAGCTTTACTAGCCCAGGTAAAGATAAAATGCTTTTCTAATGTTAAAACAATGGGGAAATTGGAAAATTTGTACTAGCCCGCAGGAATTACCAATAGCCCCGGGCTAGCGTGCTAGTGTTAATTTCTAACCCTGTAAGTGCAATAATCTTGGAACCCCATTTCACCTCGCCTTACCTCCGCTCTTCACAAGTATTGACCACTCATGGTCACTCCTGTGGGTCATTGAGGGCCCGTCTAAAAATCGGTCGTCTAAACACGTCACATGATGCCCAGAATGAATCTCACAGGGACAACTTCCCACTTATCGACCAGGCGTTGAGTATTAAATAATTATTCAGTTCTAAATATCTACTTCATTTGTAGTCACACCTGTTCGTTAATACCTTGACTAGGAAACTCACCTTGAATAAGACAGCTTAAAGCAATGGCAACACACACATAGATCCTCTCATCTCTGTAATCCATTTCTAACGACCACACTCCCAACGTGAAAAGTTTGAAGCCTATTTGCACCTAGCAAATCCTCATAAAAGGAATCCCCTTCAGCACGAAATTGGCCGCTCTCCGACCACGTCTTATGAGCTCTGAGTTTAACCTCGGTTTGCTGCCGGACCAGACTGTTGATAGTGTGTGTGCCCAGTTTAGCATCCAGCCGACACACGGGAATTATTTGTCAAACGCTCAAGGGCAAACAACTCTGTTTATCAGCTGTTCTTGGAAAACAGGAAATTTAGATACCTGGTTGCGGGGATTACATCATATATATTTTGATTTAAATTAATTATTTGTTTGGGGAACAAAAATTTTGCTTTTGTTTTAAAGAGCAAATTCAAATTTCGATGTGTTTGTTGTATTTGAAGTGTGATAATCTTTCCTGAATCCTTTAAGTTCTTTATTTGTCTTGGAGGTGGTCGGTCTTCATTTTGGCAGCACGGTGACATCTGCCCATTGAAGCCACAAAGTTTGGTCAGAAACAATAACGGTAATCAGGTCATGTATATATCTTTGCAAGGGTCTCAGCCCCATGAAGCCCTTGGTTGGAATAGGTCCCTAGCACCCTGGGCCCTGTTCCACAAAGCGACCTTAGTGCTAAGTTGGTCATAACTCCCATACTTTACCATAGGCTTACGATCAACGTAGCACTAAGATCGCTTTGTGGAACAGGGCCCTGGGCTGGTTGTAAGAGGGACTTGCTGGATCAGGTGGTCAGACTCAATGACTTGGTTGATAGCATGTTTTTTGTACCCAGAAGGCATGGATCCTTGTTTGTAATATTAATTGCAGAATTTAACCCAAGTTTGCTTGCTCACTCTCTCACTCTCACTGACCCACTCAAGCAGCCACCCAATCACCCACTCACTCAACTACTCAACAACTCACTCACTCACCCACTCACTCAACAACTCAACCACTCACTCACCTACTCACTCAACCACTCACTCACCCACTCACTCACTTACTCAACAACTCAACCACTCACTCATCCACTCACTCAAATACTCAACCACTCACTCACCCACTCACTCAAATACTCAACCACTGACTCACCCACTCACTCAAATACTCAACCACTCACTCACCTACTCACTCAACCACTCACTCACCCACTCACTCACTCACTCAACAACTCAACCACTCACTCACCCACTCACTCAAATACTCAACCACTCACTCACCTACTCACTCAACCACTCACTCACTCACTCAACAACTCAACCACTCACTCAAATACTCAACCACTCACTCACCCACTCACTCAAATACTCAACCACTCACTCACTCACCCACTCACTCAAATACTCAACCACTCACTCACCTACTCACTCAACCACTCACTCACTCACTCAACAACTCAACCACTCACTCACCCACTCACTCAAATACTCAACCACTCACTCACTCAACCACTCACTCACCCACTCACTCAAATACTCAACCACTCACTTACTCAACAACTCAACCACTCACTCACCCACTCACTCAAATACTCAACCACTCACTCACTCAACCACTCACTCACCCACTCACTCAACAACTCAACCACTCACTCACCAACTCACTCAAATACTCACCCACTCACTCAACAACTCAACCACTGACTCACCCACTCACTCAAATACTCAACCACTCACTCACCTACTCACTCAACCACTCACTCACTCACTCAACCACTCACTCACCCACTCACTCAAATACTCAACCACTCACTCACCTACTCACTCAACCACTCACTCACCCACTCACTCACCCACTCACTCACCCACTCACTCACTCAACAACTCAACCACTCACTCACCCACTCACTCAAATACTCAACCACTCACTCACCCACTCACTCAAATACTCAACCACTCACTCAACCACTCAACCACTCACTCACCCACTCACTCAAATACTCAACCACTCACTCACTCAACCACTCAACCACTCACTCACCCACTCACCCACTCACTCACCCACTCACTCAAATACTCAACCACTCACTCACTCAACCACTCAACCACACACCCAGTAGGAAAAAATTCAATTTTAAACAATTAATAGATCAGCCTAGTTCATATTTAGCATTACATTGATAAATCACAGTTCCACATAGGTGACTCCTAACTGTACACATACAGAATAATTAATTACATTATAAATTGATATACCTTTATAGTTTTGAGTCAATATGTCAATACTGAAAGTTCCAATCAATGACACCCTACTCACCGCTACTCAATCGATATGGAGGGGACAGCTTTCCCATACAGAAACATTTAACCTCTATCAAAGATGCTGCTGTATCGGGCCAAAAAAAAAATGTTAGGAATTATGAAATAATGACACTTTTGTTACATTTATAAGAAAAGAACCATCACAAGCTGTTTTTGCTAATAATAACACTACTCACCTCATTCTAAGCAACAAAAGACTGTATTATTAATTTTGTCTCTTTTGCAATATGAATGATTACATAGTCCTAATCTTGTCAATATGCATGTCTTATAACAGTTTAATGGCAGGTGTGACACCTCGTCTTTCAAGGGAAAACTGCAACTGATATTGACATCCCTTGTTCATTTCAATTCCTTAGGCATCACTAGCGAAATTAACCAGTTACCCTGCATGGTTAGCACTTTCTCTCAATGTTTGGTTTCCATAAAAAACACATTAAAAACCTGCTATGACCTGTCCAGGTGGGGTTTTCAGTCCGTCCTAATTGTGTACAAGGTCTCTGTTATCCCGCGATCAGTGTTTATTAGCAAGGAGAGTTTTCACAGTCTTTGTTTGTTCAAGCTGCATCGAGCAACACTGTTTTCACGAACATTGTTTCAAGGTATCAAATAAATCTCGGAGCAAGAAAACAGTGGCGTTTCTACAGATTAAGAAAATATTTAACACTCCTTTGTTGCGTAAGAAAGTATTCAGTCTGTTAATCTTTTGTTAGAATTTCCAGAATATCATCAGGATAATTAATCATGGTGTATTAAAATACTTTATTCATATTTGCTCTTATTGCTTGTACAGTGTTGTGTTTGTGATATTCTGGTCTTTTTGCCCCAAAATATTGTATTTGCTTGAATTTTGTGTGCAAAGCATACATTTAACATGGAACTTGGTATTTGTTCTTCATTGATCACATGAGAGATGCTAGAAAGTATTTGTGTATGACATTTTGGAGTCTTTAAAAGAGTTCATTAGATTTATGTAAAGTTTCATAATAAAATGACCACCTCTGATATCTAGTGGATAGAACATCTGGGGGAGTGGAGATCTGGAGAGTGAAAGGTTGGTGGTTCAATCCTCGGCCGTGTCAGATTAAAAGATGCATGGCATCAAGGGATAAAACCAGGACTGGTTGGCTCGAATGAGTATGCTATATCTGAGTGGGGTGTCCATGTTAAACTGCAGAAGGGTATCACAGTGGGTTAGCACTATAAAACTAGTATTAAGTTCGGACTAGAACAAGCAGCCACACACAAGTATGCACTTCGTTTTATTAGTGCAACCAACGCGTGTCGTCTGACGTTGATTAATGAACAATTTGCGTATATGCAAGGGGCCGACGTATGCTTCCTGTAGGAAGTGACAACTTGGAGACGATGGCTTGCGGTATATACAGTTTTACTTTATACATGTCAAAATATACATACAAAAGACACTATGTGCCAGGTCAGCACATAGTGGATGTTGTCTAGGTGCCCCGGAGCACCCAGCCTAACCCTAGCTAGGCTATGGGTAAGACCTTTCTTTCTCCTTCTTTCAATCTCTCTCTTCTCTCCTCTCTTTTTCTCTTGACCAAGGCTTATATAGCCAAGGTCACCTGACATTTAGTAAGTAATAAATATAAATGTAAACAGTAAATCATCAGTGACATACTTGCACATCCTGTTCAGGATGGCAGACGGTCGATGTACACAAAAATGGGGATTAACAAATAGGATTAGCATCTTATAAATAACAGCAATTAAGTGTTTCAAGGCATAAAGATGTCATGGCTCCAGGGTAATGAGCCTTTGCAATTAAATGTTCTTCAGACAATGGGTGTCGTAAATCAGTCGCTATGACAGCACAATGGATTAAAATATTTATGTTTTCATTGTACTACTGATTAGTGTTTAGTGTTTAAAGCAAACGTTTAAGGTCAGAATCGATATTTTTTACTAAGTGTGCGACTGTGATAGATACTTGTATCAAGAAGTAAAAAATTGCGATCCACCGATGCCTAGATGTATCATCCCACTACTAATTATCGTTCATGCAAAATCAGCACAAATTAAGTATCACAATGTGTATCGTATTAGACTTCAGTATCGTAGTGTAAGGCAGCATCCTGAACTGACTCCTGCAGGGGATATCGCTTACTACTTTTGATGGTAAATAGAATCTGACCCTCATGTATTTTGACATCAAATATATCAATGCTTATCATTGGAGTTTTTATCTGTTAATGACTTGGGTTGATATATTGTATGTCAGAAGACTCTCAAGTGAGATTCTCAATATAGCGACATGTGAGGTAGTTGTATTAGGACACCTTGAATTATCTCAGGTTTTGTTTGTTGTTTAACACCAGACAATCCAGTGACTGATATTATGAGCAACAACCCACGCCATCCGGGTATGATGACATGCAGTCTACCAAGTCACTGAGCCTCACCACCTGATCAATTTAGTCACCTCCTGTGTTTGTTCGCTTGCTTGTTTGTTGTTTAACACCAGACAATCCAGTGACTGATATTATGGTTTGTTGGTTGGTTGGTTTGTTGTTAAACGCCGCACTCAGCAATATTCCACCTATATGACGGCGGTCTGTAAATAATCGAGTCTGGACCAGACAATCCAGTGATTGACATCATGAGCATTGATCCACGCATTTGGGATACGATGACATTCATCAACCAAATCAACGAGCCTGACCACCTGATCCCGTTAGTTGCCTTTTACGACAAGCATAGTCGCCCCTTTTACAGCAAGCATGGGTTGCTGAAGACCTATTCTACCCCAGAATCTTCACGGGTCCTGATATTATGAGCAACAACCCACTCCATCAGGGTATGATGACATGCCATCTACCAAGTCACTGAGCCTCACCACCTGATCAATTTAGTCACCTCCTGTGTTTGTTC